AAACGTCTGGGAATGTACCACGTCCACGATCCGATTTTGGAAATGATTATGCATACAATCGACTCAGGACAAGGTGCGTTCCTCTAAGTCGTCCTACCAATATGACCAAAATGATGTTATTGTTCAACTTTCGTCAATCAATTTGAACATAATTCTGATTTCTCCGTGTACTTTTTCTTGATACGGCCTACAACTTTTTCTTTATTTCGTCTGACTTATTGAAAAACGTTGGTGTACCTTTCCTTTTGTTTGAGGAAGAGAGTGGAAGGGATTTGTAGGCTGGCCTCACCAGGAGTCGAAGTAGTGTTTCCTTCAGCTATGACTAGATTTGTGCGAATAAGTCCCCGGTTCGCTGTCCTGCGAATAGGCTGAGCTTCCATTCGTCATGTGATGGACATCGTCAGAGTAGGATACCATGCTTTAGGATAATATACCAAGCACAAAGACAAAAAAGGTGGCTTGTATATCAAGTTCTTATTCGAGGACTATGATTTTTATTAATATCTACGGCAACCTTCCGTTACTTTCAAGAACTTTCTGATTTGAGCTTGCCAAATTAGTGTAGTAATCTATAAAATATTTATTGGTATCAGGACTAAGATGGTGTGACGTTCTAAGTATGGTCGCTTTTGTTTTCGCGACTTGGTCATATTGTCAGGAAGTCCTAGAGGAACGCATCTTGTGCAGAGACCATCATATTACATGATAATTTCCAGAGTCAGACCTTGAACTTGGTACTTTTCCAGACGTTTCGCCGGCATCATCAGTAAACCCTGCCATTTTTGCATTACGCTACAACTCGTCAAAGAGACAGGTCCCGGAATATTCACCTATCCTATATCTTTCTATCACCCCTTCACCATCACAATCTATTACTTGCTTATTTAAACCTGGTTTCGGTGTGCCATTTTGAGCGGATTTCATGAGACCTATGACCAACCAAAAGTCATTAAGTGTCCGAGATTTGATAAATAGGCGGCATGACAAAAAATTGCTTCGATAGGGGATAATAAGATAGCGCAGTATCAAGCGAACTCGAGCAAATTTTGATGGTGTTCTATTGAAGGCATCAAACGCTACAAAGAATGATGGGAATAAGACAGTGAACTTAGCCACAGTCTCTCTTGATTCTGAAAACATGGACATCCTAAAGGAGTTAAATTTTTCCCTAAATAACGAAGGAAACGTTCTAGATGATATTATTCTGGGAGTTGTTCACACATTGGATTTATATTTAGAAGATACAAACAGAATATTTAAATGGAAATACTCCAAAGTATCCTGGCCCATCAAGAGCCAATACACCGGAGC